CTAATTGGGGTAAGTTCACCCTCTGCAAGTTTCTGATGACATTATAAACACAGTCCAGCCATTGCAACCTGGAAACAAAAAAAATATAGCACTGTGATAGAATTTTCTTAATTTAAGAACGTACTTACTTAATAAATTGCTGAAGAAGTCCGAAAAACCACATGTACACAGAGCTAGCTAAACACGGTTATTAAAAATCTATACCGATGAACACTATCAAGCAATTCAATTTGTAATAAGTTTTAGTTTAAACTTGTCGGATAGCGAACGGCCGAGACCATGGCTATCCTTGATACGACGCGACGTCCGGCTAATTTTGCGGTAATTCTGTTTTTTGCACAAAACTCAAGAAACGTCTTATAACAAGTCAGTAAAATGCAATTTAATAAATTTTAGGCCTAATAAATTTAGGTATGTAAGAAATTTAAAACTGGAAATCACAAAAAAATCAAATTACAGAAATGCACGAGTTTTGGATCCCGCGGAGCGCGTGTAATGGGACTTTTGTCGGGAGAATTCTACAACTTAGAAGAAACATACACACTTTAAACTTTGTATACATATTCAGAAGACATGAGATTTGGGTTTGCTCAATTTTCAGACCAAAAAACTGAAAATCGTTAATTTTAGGCAACTTTTCTCAAAAACCGTGTTTTTGGTCGTCACTCAATGAACAGTGGTCAAAAAAATAGATAAAATATTTTTGCAGAATTTTTCGTAACGTAATCGTATTCTAGACATAATAGAGTATTTAAAAAAAAAGTTTTAAGCCATTGGGTGCATTTTTGGCATTTTTGTGCCACTTAAAACTTTCGAAAAAAAATTAGTTTTTTTTTAGTGAAAAAATTTTGTTAAATTGTTTGATATCTTGGCTAATTATATTCCGATTTCGGTAAAATTCACACACTTATAAGATTTCATATTTTAGAGTAAGCTCTGTAAGTGGCATTAAATAATTTTAAATAGTTTGGCCGTTATAGGCAAACAATGAAATTAGGCTTGCGGTACACTTTGCCCTTCTGCCATATACCCAATTTTGAGATTTCTCTTGTCCCCTTCTGGGAATCAATAGTCACATCCCTTAAGTTCAAAACGAATTTTTGTTTCTTCAAATATCTTAATTTTTACTAAAGTTATGAAGAATTTAGTGTTTGAACATTTAACAAATTCAATTTTTCGGCCTTCGCTGCCTCAAAATACTAAACAAATTTCAATCGTCCATACCGCGAGAACGCTGCATCCGATCAAAATTTCTCAAGAAAAATAAAAATTAGCATTTTTTCTAAGCTTTCAAATGTCGTAAACTGCGTTTTAAAAATAATGATTTATTTGCGACATGCGCATGCGCAAAATTGAAAAATTGACAATCCAAAATTTCGGCACTTTCGAAAAACTGCTACATTTTGTTTTGCCTTTTTTCGAAAAGATCACCTCAAAATACATAGAATCCATTTTGTTTCATCTAATTACAATTTAATGTAAGCTCAAAACCGGTAATTTAATTCGATTATTATAACTTTTGCAATTTTTTATACACTGCAAAATTTTTCTTCACACATTAATCTAGACATTATTCCGAATCGAATGAGCTAATGAACATAATTTTCGTAATAGTATGTCCCAAAAACACGCTTTTGAACTTGTTGATTAGACTATTGTTCGATTTTCAGGAATTCTTTATTTATTTTATTTTTGCTATTAATCACTGAGTGTAATCCTTGTATAATATAAAGCAATCCATGTTTCAAAACAATATTTTTTGAGTATTTAGTGTGTGTGTGTGAGGTTGGATTTGTTTAATATGCAGGTATATTTAAAAAAAAAATAATAATTACGTACAAGCAATCCTAGTACAAATACTTTAGGTTACGTTAAAGATATTTAACTACTTTAAAAAACAAAATATTAAAATATATTTAGGGGATATTAACATAAATTTATTGAAAACTGAAAATAATGAAACAAATAAATAACTATTTAAAGATTCTTAGTGCAAATGGCTTTTATTTGTACATAAACAACAAACCAACTAAAGATACAAAGTCAACTATGACCACACATTTATTTGAAATAATAATAATAATAATAATTTACAACTCAACAGATCATGAAAAGCGTTTACAAATGGTTAAATAGTAAAAATAGTTCTCTAAACATGAAAAAAACTAAATATATAACTTTTTTCCCACGATTACAGATCAGCCTAACTAATTTTTTTATACTAAACTGCATAAACCGTCTTGTGTTGCTACCAAAAATTTTATAACTAAAAATACCAAATCTCTTAAGTACCTAGGAGTTATTGTTGATTAACATTTAAAATGGGTAGACCACATCAACTAACAATTTTAATACAATTTATGAATTTCGGGACATCCTAACGAGAAAAAATTTAATGATTTTGTACACAGCTCTTGCTGAATCTATAATTAAATACTACATCCCAGTCTGGGGTGCAGCCTTCAAATCAACTCTTTTACCATTACAAAATATTCTTCTTAAAATAATTTTTAGAAAGAGTAAGTATCCTTCTACAAATCTTTTACATCAAGAAACTAAATTACTTTTTGGACCTGGCTCTTCTATTAGCCTGACAAAATCGGTAGTGACAGATCTAATTAAAGAACATTCCCTTGTGAAACTCAAGGAAAGATGGGACGAAAGAAGAAACTACAGCGTTGCCAGGGAGCTCTTAAGTTATCCTGACAACACTGCAGCAAACAAACACTATGAGTAGACAGAATCTGCGCCCAGTCACAGGCATTCCGACTGGTCATTGCCAAGTACGGAAGCATCTTCATATCATGGGGCTGTCAGAATCCGCATTCAGCAGAGGGTGCGAACCAGAAAATGAGACTCGAGCATATCCTTTACGATTGTTCGACGCTCTCATTTATTAGAAAATTTGTGTTCGGCGTGTATCGGCTAACACCAGCCGATATAAGAAAAGAACCACTTGGCGATGTTGTCAACTACATTAAATATGTAGGCTGGCTTACGAGCTAGGAGGTGCCTATCGTCTTAGCAGGATGCATAATGGGCGTAATGAGGCCTAAGTGTCGAGGCGGTAACCCACCCTCCACACGTTATAGATACAGAGATATGTTTACAACTGCCTAACCAGGCTGTTTCATGATTCATCAAAGTTCACTACCCTTAATCATCAGAGGGATACCTGGTCAAAAACTAACTTTGATATTAAAACTGAACTTTTTCAATAAACTTTTCTGTACTATGGACCTAAATTCTTTAACAAGCTTCCAAAAAGCCTAAAACTAACCACAAAATTTAATTTTTTTTTTAAACTAAGGTGGAACCGTTTATACAAAAAAATGCAGATATATTTAACATCCCTTAACCATCTTGATCTTGAAATTAATATCGCTCTTTATTCTTGAAGTGTACTACTATTATCAACAAAAAAAGCAACAACAAAAAAAACGGACTCCTACGAGTCACCCGAAAAATTCAACTTTTCGTCCTTGTAACATAAACTACTATTATTTAAAAAATATTTCTAGACATTATATTTATTGAGAATAATCATTAAATTTTCTTAAATTCGTTTACAAATTTTCATAGTAACATTATTTTCAGTTATTTCATATCAAACTAAAAAATTACAGAGTGAATAAAATCGATATTAAATCGATATTTTCTTGCCAAGCAAAGTGATTGTATACACTCATTACGATATTTTGTTATTCTTTCCGTCTTACCTTATTTATTGTAACTCACTTAAAGACTTTTTACAAGTAGGTATTCTTTATTATTGTACTGTAATAATAATACCGTCCAAATAATTGACTCAGAAAATACGTACGTACACTAGTCCAAATATTTTAAGTTCTTTGGCAGTTTTATTTTAGCCTTTAGCCCTAACTATAATTTTTATTAATTTAACCACTTTTTCCCACATTTTCTTCTATCTTTTCTACTATGTTTCCTCATAGTTCTCGTATTCTAATTTGTTAGTATCGTTGACAAGCAATTGGTTTTTGATTGTCTATCCACCTCATTTGCTACCACAAGCGGCTTTATTTGCCTCCTGAGGCTTGATTGGTTGTAGGCATCCTATCATTATTATAGTTTGGCAGAGGAATTGAAACTGCTCCATAGCTATACAAATTCAAATACATATTTGCTAGTAGGGTACCCTGCTGCCTTTCTAGGAACATGTTTATTTTTTTTATGTCAGCTTGTTGTAAATAGCATTTTCTAATTAATTTTCTTTTCTGTCTATTCTGTATATCTGGTTTAAGAACAGTTCTAAAAGATATAAAAATGATATCTGAAAATTTCAGTTGTTGGAAAACAAAAGACGAAAAATGTGAAATACAAAAACTAAATGATATTGCCAATTTTAACCTAATTTTGTAATATATGGGTTCATTGAAATAATATATTTCTTATTACCTGGAGCCAATCCTGTAGTATTTCTTAGTTTTTTTTTTTATAATTGCCTTTGTGATTAACTGAATCGATGTGGATACTTATAATCCCTCATGTTACTAAAAAAATATATTATTTGTAGTTGGCTACAGGTAAAGGGGGTGAACAATGTGAACATGTTCTATTTCCAGTTATTTTTTGTACAGCATTACGCGTAAACTTAATTTTTACCTACGAAATATTGAACTTTTTTATTTATTTATTAGTAGAATTTTATATTTTACTACTTTAGTACAGGTTGAATTAAGTTTGATAAATCTAATAGTTGAGGAATACAAGAAACCTATGCGGAATTATACTTGATATTAATTTGAATATTTTTCATATACTGACAAATTCTATTTTTCTGAATTTAATTCGTAAGTAAATTTAACCGAATTTACTTAACTGAATTGATAATAAAATATTTTATTGCGGAAATCTTCTTGAACTTTAAAATTAGTCACGGTCTACGTCTGCCCCACATCCATACGTAATAATATACAAAATAATTATCATAATAAAGTAAAAGTGGAATATTTAAACAATGCGTATTCTTCTTTCCACAGCCGCTAGACGTCTCAACTCTTCCTGTTCGGATCTCACCATCATCAGTTTAGAAGGAGAAGAAGCAGACAAGCATGGCCCTAACCTTGTAAACAAACAGCGAGTTCTTCCTTTCATCCCCCCTTCGTTTCCCGGTGCTGCTAATTCCAATAATCTAATCAAACCCTCCGAGTATTTGAGAAGCATCAGTGATAAGAGATCTTCTATCGGGTCCATCAGGAGTTTTTCCGAAAGTGAGGATACAGACAGCAAGTTTGAAGAAAAGAGAGATTTTGGAGTGAACGGTCCACCTCCACCGCCTTTGCCTGATAATTTTACCCAGAAAGAGGTAAGAGAAAATAATAATTATTAGTATTATACAGTGTGGAATAGCAAAATGAAATAAATTCGGTAATACATAAATGAGGGCGTGTTCGGAAAAACCTCGGACACATCGATTGGTATTTTTAGCTGCGAATTATTTTTTATAAAAACTTTTTATACAGGGTGTGTCATGTTACAGTGGCCAATATCAACTTTATTATTTTAAATGCAACACTCTGTATATTTTTCAATTTTTGCTTTCTTTAGGAAATATTAAAACCTAGCTGACTTAAAAAGACGCTTGCGATTAAATCGGTCACTTCTGAGATGTTGAGTAACGTTAGAAGACATTTTTATTTCAGATTAGGATGTTGACAAGAGGTTCGCGGCGAGAATTTTGAACATTTGCATTGAGATGTATTTTTTTGTTATATTATCAAGAAATAAACAGTATTACTTATTAGTTTTTGAGTGTGTTGTAACGAATTTCTCTATTCAAATAATTTTAATTTATTAATGTTAGTTTTTGCAATAAATCGGAAAACATTTAATATTTCCAAAACAGTTAGGTATAAAACAGGACATAGTACATAAAATATATCTGGAATTTTGTGAAGAATCCAAAAATTTAAAAATATACAGGGTGTTGCATTTAAAATAAGAAAGTTGGTATTCGCTACTGTTACATGACATACCCTGTATAAAAAGTTTTTGTTAAAGAATATGCGCAACTAAAAATACCAATCAACGTGTCCGAGCGTTTTTTCGAACACGCCCATATTTATTTATTACCGAATTTTTTCCATTTGGCTGTTCTACAGTGTATTTAAAAATATATCGTGGGTTTATAGTATCTTCATAAAACCTGCGTTTTACGCACTATTATATTATAGGTAATTTTTAATATTAATAGATATTTGACATATCGATAATGATTAGTGACATAAAATTTAACAATTTGTGAAGCAAAAAGATTCTGTATCGAGAAAATCGATCGTCAATACATATATAACGCTTATAATTCTGTGGTAAGAAGCCACAACTTGATAAGTCGACTTTTTACCAAAATTGAGTTATCAACACGACTGTGTTCGTCTCGACGAGATCTACAAGATGGTATAACTTTATAAGTCGAATTCCTAATAATAACGGTCATAGAAGTGATGCCCAAACCTGATATGTTTAAAGTTGATATTACAGACGAGGTAAGAACTTGATAAGTTGACATAACAATGTACGCCTCTAACTAAATGGTTTTTAAAAAGATGTCAACACTTGATATGTCGATTTATCTAATACTTCCACTTTCAAAAACAGCTAATTTTTATAGATTTTAAAGAAGACATAACTTGATATGTCGACATATCAAATTGTACCTTCCTTGAAAATATCCTTTATTCTGTAGTATAGCAATGCGGAATATGTTATGTGAACATATCAAGTTTTCGCATCTGAGTAAAGATGACTGCACTACAGTGATGTCACTTGTCAAGTTGTGTTATCAAGTTTTGTCACTCTTCAATATTATCGATTTTAAGGTTATTTAAAATAGGTGCTGTTGTTTAACAGTTCTGTTGTTGTGAAAAAAGTGTGTTTTAGGAACCAACAATGCCTTATTCTTGTACTAACTGTAATAAAATATGTGTAACTCGAAGTGAATTGATGGTACATTCCGGAAAATGTGGAGGTAAACTTCTACAGTGTGGTTCAAGTTATTCGGTCAAAAGTGAGGTTAGTGTTACTAAAAATGATCGTACGTTTGATGAAAAAAATCCAGCTACTGGCGTAATCTCTATGCCACATAATACATTGATGTGTAAACCTTCAACTAGTCGCCTAAACTCAACATATGAACCCCAGGTAAATATTATAATATTATTAACGTGAACCTAATGTCGTTAAAACTAATAGTAAGTCTACTTAAAACTAATGTTTATATGTTGTTGTAGGACTCTTTCGAAGAAGATTCCCATGACTCAGATGCAGACCCGCAATGGACTCCTGTCCTTAAAGACGACTCCAGGAAACGAAAGCTATTTAGTCTAGTACTATCAAAGGGGAAAAAGACAAGATCGGAAAGTGATACTGAAGGTTATTTTTTTTATTGTGTATGATTATTTTAAAGATTACAGATTATACATTTTTTTTTGAATTTGAGAAGGGGATTTAAAAGATTGAATGATTTAAGGATTTGTTTGTTTTTCAGATGAAGGTATGTTGGATAATGAACTTGATATACGTAGCAGACCACTAATAGTTTCCGAAAGCAACATATCATTGGAACCATCTCTTACTTCTACTTCCTCTAAACCAAAAAGAAAGAAAGGTGTTAGAGCGCGTGAACAAGAAAAAAATAAAAGAGATCACGGTTTGGCCTACAAAAATAGAAAAGGCCAAGTTAAAGGTCCCATCGAGTTCAAGCCTATTGAGAGATGTTGTCAGAGGAAAAAATGTTTCGAGATAGTAACACCAGAAATACAAAATCAAATATTTAAAAATATTTATTCTTTGCCAATGAAAGTAAGAGATCAAACGCTGTGTGAAAGAATGGAAATTTCAAATACAAAGTATAGTGCAAAAGGTAGAGGTAAGAGTGATCTAACTCACGACCGGCTTGTGACTGTCAGTTATAGTATTATTGTTGAAAATAAGAAACACAATGTTTGCAAATTAATGTTCATGAGTGCGTATGGCGTAACCAGAGGGAAATTGGACATATTAATAGAAAAGAAAAGGGCCTCTTCCTATGGTGTTATTGATGTTGATATGAGGGGTAAGCAAACACCACCCAATAAAACAAGTGATGAAGAGATAAATTTAATTTTACAGTTCATAGACAAATACCCAAGACACGAAAGTCATTACGCTAGGCGAGATAACTCATCAGAAAAGATATTTTTGCCTAGCCACTTAAGTATTAAAATAATGTACAAAGAGTACTTACAATGGAGAGAAGAAAATGGTTTCGAAAAATCGGTTGGCTACGACACATTTAAAAAATTTTTTAAAACAAAGGGCTATAAGTTTAAAGAGCCATTGATTGACACGTGCAAGACTTGCGATGAGTTTAATGTATTTAAAAGACATGCTACTAGTAAAGCTGACCGTGATGAAATCGATAAAAATCATAATGTTCACGTTCTAGAGGCACAAGAGGGTTATGACCGTAAACGTGAAGATAAAGGAAATGCAAAGAACACTGATTACCAAAGAGTTTTGGTTTTTGACTTACAACAAATTTTGCCTGTGCCATACCTCACAACCAATATTGCATATTACAAAAGACTATTAACTATGTACAACCTAACCATCCGTGATTGTTCACAAGAGAAAGAATCGTCAGACTGTTGTATGTGGAGTGAGCTTCAAGGAGGGAGAGGATCAGATCAGATTGCCTCTTGTATTTTAAAAAAGCTTCTTCAGCTACCAACAAGTGTAGAGCAGGTAGTTACGTACTCAGATACATGTGGGGGCCAGAACAGAAACATTAATATGGCAGTTATGTTTATGTATGCTCTGGCAAAAAACGAGAATCTGAAGGTCATTGATCAAAAGTTTCTCCTACCAGGTCACACACGTCTAGAATGTGACAGTGACCATGCCCGTATTGAGCGGGCAAAAAAAAGACTTGGGTCATCAGGATCTTCCAAAAGTGGGGGAGAAACATATAGGATTATGGTTCCTCGTGATTGGTGTCAGTTTGTAAGAGCTATCCCTGGGAAAAAAAGCTTTAATGTGATTGAGATGAACTTACCAGATTTTAAAGCGTTTTCATCTCTTTTAGTTAAGAATAATATTTTAGTTCATCGCAATCAAGATACTGAGAAAAAGCCAGTCGAGTGGCTAAAAATAAAATGGCTAAGATACACTAAGGATTTTGGAGTCATTCATTTCAAATATGATCTGAATCCATTTTCTCCATTTCGAACCCTAAATATTATTCGCGACAGAAAAGGCCGCAAAATCTCTGCTAAGAATCTTGAAGTTGGTAACTCATATGGGAGTACCATTGGGATAAATCCTTTGAAAAAGAAGGACCTGTTATCAATACTAAGTTTAATAGATACAGAGTTCCATAACTTCTACAAGAAGCTCCCGACAACATCAGCAGCTCAGGAGTTCGATGAGCTGAGCGACACCCAGGAAGACTCCGATTCTGAAACCTAGTTTTTTTTGTATTTTGTGTATTAAAGAAATATTAATTTCATGAAATGTTGAATTTTTTTCCTTAGGTATATTGATATCAAAACCTAAAAATGTAAGTATTTTCAGAAAAATAACAAGTTTTGGGATATTTTTAGTTCTGTTATCGATTTGCCAATTACATAAACATGCCAGAGTAAAAGATGGCAAAACCTGTTATGTTGAACAATCTTAAATAACTCCGATATTTTGACATATTTCACTTTCATACTTAAAACTCCCAATATTTGGTGTTCAAGCTCTACGAAAAGTATTAACTGTAAATTGTATGTTGAAGTACAGATTTACCTCAGACAGTTTTTCTTAAAATGGCTCTCCTGTAAAGTTAGCGGAAGTCGATATATCAAGTTATGGCTTCTTTCCACAGAATTAATCGTGAGGAGGAGTTGGAAATAGTTCTTTAGTAAGGTATTTGGTGAGACTACATGCATTATCATGGCACTTGAGCGTTAAGTTTGCTGGTGGCATGGTAACTGTATCTGTTTTTATTTGAGTCTTCAATTATCAACAATTCTCTCTAAAGCGTTTGACAGATTTAACCAAGGGATTTTCCTATAAGCTCTCACTAGTTGATGTATCAAGTGCTCTATATAAGCGTTTATGTTATCTAACAGACATAAAATACATGCAGCTAAATTGTTTTAAGTGTCTTGGATACCTAGCTACTACGTACAACCAGATTGTGCTTTAAGGTATTAATTTAGGACTATAACTTTTTAATATAAAGTGTGACAATTTAAAAACTTACAATAGGCTATATCTCACAAACGAAAGATGATATCAAAAATGCCTAAAACATTTTCTAGGATAGTAAGGGGGAAC